TAGTGGGGTCTTTGCTATTTATGGCTTATTTTGATTCAAGGTCCTCCAATAGCACATGTCCGGCTACCAAGGTGAGCAGCAAAGTTTGGAGGCTGAACCCTTGGTACCTGGGCTGGATGGCAGGAGAACCATGCAAAGAGAATGGGCCAGGGCACAGGTTAAACTGCCTTCCCAGTGAATGGAGCCTGCGCAGAAATTCAGGTCATAAAGCCAGACAGAGAATGGCATCAATGACAAATTGAATAATGAGTGTTAGCATCAAGGAGCATTTGAAATTAGTCACTAAACAATTAAAACTGAAATGCCATAGCTTTTCCTATAAAACTGAAATCCTATAGCTTATACAAGGTCTTTCCTGGAAGTATCCAACCATTGTTAATATAACGAGAACATAGTATATGGCTGGATACTTTCTGGACAGACATGGCATATAGATTATATATACATATATATATATATATATATAAACTTTATAGAAGTACCCAGATTTGGTGACAGTCCTAAACATTAATATGATATTACTAATTATGGGTTTGGAAGTTGAAAGGTTTCTTAAATTGCTGATAACTATAATTACTGAGTTAATTATTTTAGTCTTTCATAGTAGTGGAATGAATTTTCTTTTCATTCTTGCTAAAAGAGTAATATAATAAAATCTGTTATATGTGGCAAAAAGTGTAGTGAAAGTGATCATAAAGTATGTTAGCAGTTAATAAAACAATATTTTCTGGGAAAACAAAGAAAAGCAACAACGCAAATTCAATTTTTTTTTGCTCAGCAAGAGATGCTTTCACTCCTTGGATTTGAATTGTTGTGTACCAAAAATCAAAAAACATGTAGTTCATGTCCAGGCGAAAATACAGAAAAAAAGCGCATAAAGATGTTTATCCAAGCTTTATTAATAACAGGGAATAATGCCTGAGTGTTTCACAGTGGGGGTTGGGACATAACAACATTATTGTAGCATTATGCAGCCATTAAAGCTAATGCTTCTGAAAAGCTTCTAATAACATTGAAAAATATCTATGTCATAATCTCAGGGGAAAAAACACAGAATATAAAACTGAACCCTTCTATGACTTCAGCTACATTAAAATGTCTCGATAAAGCAGCCAAAGGGAGTAAAACTTCCATTGCCTCAAATTGCCTGATAAGCCAAGGGCACTGCCCGTGGCCGTGGAGGGCGGGTGGGGGAGGGCAGCGGCTGTGGACTCCCAGCTCCGGGGCAGGGTCTGGACCCTCAGTCGTCAGTGTCTGGTTTCTCCTTCCGTGTGAATTCGGGTCAGAGAATCCCGTGACTTGGAGGAAGCAGCCCTGGCCTCACTCTCAAATGACTGGCCTTCCCTTCTTGGAAGACAGAGCCATTGTCATCCAGGCTGGCTGTGACACAACCTGACAGCTCTGCAGGACTCTGTGGGGCTGACGCTGGGGCTGGGGCCTCAGAAACCAGTGGTGGCACGAGGGGGAGGGGTGGAGGGGAAGGAAGTCCTCAAGATGTTCTCCTTACTCATGTTCATTGCGGGAAACGGACACTCACAGCTGAGTCAGCGAGAATCAAGGCTCATGGCCAGAAAAACAAGCCCTTATTTACAGAGAATTGCTTACCACGTACCCTCCTCAACACACATGTATGTGCACACACACACATACACACACATGCACACACATACATATACACATGCGCTTACATGCAGTGCCAAGGACAGCCCAGGATCCCTGAGGACGTCTCCCCCACCAACCCCATGCTCACACAAGTCTTCACTGCTTTCTGATCAAGAATTGGCCAAATGGTTCCTGGAAGACATTAGCAGCTCTGACCTGGGGCGTTTCCCGGGTTCCTTTCTGCCCAGCGGAGGTGGAAGGGGGCTAACTGCTACTTAAAACCACCTTTCAGGGGTGCCCTCTGGTTCACTCTCTCTGGCCAGGGCATACAGCTGGGGCAGACAAGCCTGTCCCTTTCCTGGGCCCATGTCTGGAAGCTGCGGAGGATTGGGACCTTTAGCCTCTCATCAGCATGTGACTTTGGTTGCAATGGCAAAGTCTAACCTCACCCTCACGTTGCCACCCACAGCCCAGCTACAGTCTCTGAGCCCTGACAGCAAATTCCTTAGGCAGCTGTGGAGTTGAGCCCTGGGCCTGGTCGCTGAGCCAGGGCACAGCCTGCACTCGGCTCTGTGTCCCTGTTGCC